AGTAGTCAAAATTCTAAGGAAATCCACATATCACCACAGTGAATCTGGATTTATATGATTCAAGTACCACTACAGTAGTCAAGAATCATGTGTAGGTATTGTAAAATTACAGTGTCTGGTTTCTTCATATGCTACCATAGTAGTTTTGATCAAACAGACACTTGATCATGACAGAATCTCGGATTGATATGCTTTCGCAAAAGGTAATTAAATGCGAAATTCATGTTTCCATTTGTAGATAAGATTTATTGAATTCTTGATGAACAAATAGAATTCATTACCACACTGCATAGATTGATAAGAGCAAATCTATTCCATAAATTCAGGATCACCAAGCAAAATTGATCAGCAACAATTCCTGTCACATACAACACAGTATCCTATGAGTGTGGCTAATTTTGCACCATTAAATGGTGTGAATTATAAGAAATGGAAACAGGACATCGAACTTATGTTGGGTATTCTGGACTTCGATCATGTTCTCAAAGAAGATCCACCACCAGAACCTGCAGATACAGCAACCAAAGAGGTTAAGGTTAAATATCAAGAATGGCACAAACACAATAGAATAGCATTAATATACATAAAGAAATGCATGACTGATGCTGTCAAAGGGGGAATACCGGAATCCGATCTTGCTAAATTCTATTTTGCCTCAATTGCTGATAAGTATAAGGTATCAGATAAGGCAGAAACTGGATACCTTATGAACAAGCTGATCAGAATGAGTTTTAACGGACAAGGGATATAAGAGAATACATTTTGCAAGGAATTGACACTTCCTGCAAACTTAAGGAAATGAAAGTTGAAATTGATGATTCATTCCTTGTACACCTTCTGTTGAACTAATTACCTGATCAATATAGCCACTTAAGGAGTCTTTACAACACACAGAAAGGAAAAATGGACATTAGATGAACTGATCTCTATTTGTGTCCAAGAGGAATCCGAAATCAAAAATAAAGGAAAGGCAATAGCTGTCAATTATGTGTCAAAGTCCAAGGATAAGATCAAGAAACATTCCAACTTTCATAAGAAAGGTTCTTCTACCCCTTTTGTTAAGAATAACAAAAGTAAAGGAAGACCCTTCAAGAACAAAAGGGAACTGAAATGCTTCTTCTGTAAGAAGACTGGACATTTCAAGAAGGACTGTGAAGGCTTTAAGGAATGGTTGAACAAGAAAGGTAATGTTAAACATTTATTTTCTTTATAAACCACTATTTGTAATAGTGACAATTCATGGTGGTTTGATACAGCCTCACCAATACATATTGTTAATTCAATGCAGGGATTGTCAAGGACAACAATTCCAAAACTGAATGAATCTAGAATATGTACCGCAAATGGACAAGCATTGAAGGTTGAAGCTATTGGTGAATGTAGACTACTATTTAAAAACAATTATGTCTTAACTCTTAAGTCTTAACAATGTGTATTATATACCTAGAATAAAGGAGAAACTTGATGTGATGTAGGTTCTCAAATTGTCACTGAAAACAATGTTTCCTTCTATGCAAATAAAGATTGTATGTTATTTTATTTGGATGATGTCTGTTTTGGGAATGCATATTTAATTGATCTATATTGGCATCTGAACTGTGTAAATGAAACCATCAATAAGGGTCTCAAAAGATATATATTCTCAATAAGTAAATTCACGATAGCTAAGAAAAGACGTAAACAGAATATATCATCCTTCTTATGGAACAAAAGATTAGGACACATATCTAAATCAAGAATGCAGGACTTGATTAGAAAGAAAATTCTGCCAGAATTGGACTTTGATGATTTTGAGACATGTGTAGACTGTCTTAAGGGAAAAATGACCAATTCTAGAAATTTTCACTCTAAAAGAAGTCAGTGTATTCTTGAACTAATACACACAGACATATGTGGGCCTTTCCCAATTGAGACAATATGTGGAAATCAATATTTTGCTACATTCATAGATGACTTCTCAAGATTCTGTCATGTATTTCTCATGTCAGAAAAATCACAAGTCTTAGATTGTCTTATACAATTTAAGACAGAAGTAGAAAGACAATCTGAGAAGGTTATCAATGTAGTTAGAGCAGATAGAGGAGGAGAATTGGCAAATATTCTGAAAAGGGACAACATAAAGGACCCTTTGCTATATATTTAGAAAGGGCTGGAATCAAAGCTGAGTACACTACTCCTTATACTCCTACACAAAATGGTGTGGCAGAAAGAAAGAACAGGACACTGATGAACATGGTTAGAAGCATGTTTGCAAAATCTAGTCTACCGAAATTTCTATGGGGTGAAGCCTTAGAGACACCAAATTACATATGCAATAGAACACCAACCAAGGCAATAAAAGGTCCACCATTTGAACTTTGGAATGGCTATAAGCCCAGGCTAAACCATTTTCATGTATGGGGATGCAAGGCAGAGACCAAAGAATACCATGTTGAAAAATTGAGTAAACTGGATTCAAGGTCACTGTCAGCCTTCTTTATTGGATACTCTGAAAAGTAAAAAGGTTATAAATTCTATAATCCAGGAAGAGGACAAAGGATCTTTGAAACTAATAAGGCAGTATTTTATGATGAAATATTTAATGAAGATGATGATATGGGAGGTTCACCTCAAATTGTACATAATTTAGAGGATTGGATGACATACCATGAAAGTGATCCATCTTTAACTTCTGAAGATAGAAATATAACATTGCAATCAATACCTATTATAAGTAGCAATGTAGTTGAAGAAATAGATCAATTTTCTGACAATCCATCTTTGGAACCTTCACAAGATCAAGTACATGAATCTGAAATAGAACATGCACTTGAACATGTACCAGAACAACTGCCTGAACCAATACATAACACAGAACCATTAAGAAGATCTACAAGAGAAAGAAGATCAACAATATCAGATGATTACCATGTATATTTGACTGAAATAGAGTTTGATTTGGGAGAAGATGATGATCCAATCAGTTTCAAGGAAGCTATGGAATCATCAAATATAGATAAGTGGCTAAAAGCCATGGAAGATGAATTGACAAGTATGTCAAACAATAAAAGCTAACCTATTTAAATATTCATCAGAACGAAGGCTAACCTATTTAAATCTTTAAAATACTTCCATCCATGACAAAATCTCAAATATTCCCATTGAAACAAAATACAATTTTAAACTTTACTATTTTTTGATACTACAAGACCATAAAATGATTCAAATATTCATGAAGCAATCCACCAAAAAACACCACCTTCTTGAATGACTCTGTAAGAGACTGAGATGACGTACCATGATCAAATAATTCACATCAACGTCAAGGATTTGGGAAATGATCAGCCAGCTTGTAGTTGCCTTTTCTACTGAATCACCTCAATTCTCACAGAGGATGGCCCGGTAGTATTTGTCTCCCGTAGATCTTCAAGTTTCGGGCATGACCAGATATTAAGTTTCTTAAGGCAGGGGAGGCGTTGTAAGACCTCTGAAACTAATTCCACCTCCATAAAATCATAGATCAATAGATTCATTAGAGATGGTGAAAGAAGAAATGATGTTGAAGTCACATCTTCTGCATTTGCAACAAATGAAACTACTCATGAATTTTAATGCCTATACATAATAATACAATACCATAAAATGATTCAAATATTCACTAAGTAATCCACCACCTTTTTTAATGACTGTAAGAGACAAAGATGACGTACCATGATCAAATAATTCACATCAACATCAAGGATTTCGGAAATGATCAAAGAGGATGGGCCAGTAGTATTTGTCTCCCGTAGATCTTTAAGTTTCGGGCATGACCAGATATTAAGTGTCTTAAGGCAGGGGAGACGTTGCAAGACCTCTGAAGCTAATTCCACCTCCATAAAATTAGAGAATGATAGATTCATTAGAGATGGTGGAAGAAGAAACGATGTTGAAGTCACATCTTTTGCATTTGCAACAAATGAAACTACTCCTGAATTTTCTCCAGATAAGTTAAGATGAACAAGTGATGTTGGGTAATTTTGAATCCCCCATTTTGACATGGGCTTATTTAAGCATCCTATCGCTAGGCCTCTCAAATTAGGAGGCCACAACCCACAAGGAAATGAGTAATCCATACTTGGACAATTATATATCTCCAAGTATTCCAAAGATGTGAGACTTTCCAAATGCTCATGAGGAAAAAACTTCAGATTCTTACAACGACTAATCTGAAGATATTCCAGGGGAATAATATCAAAACCTTTATCTGAAATGGATTCTAAGTTATCACAATGATAAACCCGAAGAACCCGAAGAAAGGATGGGAGCTCGTGCAATGATACCAGCTTTTTACAATGATTTATTTTCAACTCCCTTAAACTCACAAGAAACTACACGCCTTCGACTCTGATTCACACAAATATCTCAATTCATCACATCCATTGATGCTTAGATGTTCAACTGGCCCAAGAAGCTCTTAAACTTCTCCATTTAGTGGAGCAAATCCTTCAATATCCTTTATTGTCAACATACTAATTGATGAAGGCACACCAACCATGCTTTCAAATACATCTTTAGAACATCCTTCTATAAGTAAAACCCCAAGTGACGGTATTAAATCAATTGAGATTTCAACTAGTTTTGGACAATCTCTTATAAAAACATTACCAAGACAAGGAACCGATCTAGCAATTCCATCATCGTCCCCACGTCTAGTTGACCATCTCTCCCAACCTTTCATATTACTAAATCTCAAAATTTCAAGTGATGGAAATACAATACCATGGAAAGAATCATTAGCTCCAAACAACTCCAAACCCAAAGTCTTTACCCCATGCATGCCTTCCACAGACAAATCCTTTATGATTTTATACAAAATTTTCTAAAACAGGGTAAAAAGTTGACTTTCAAGTCCCAAAATAACCATTTATACCATTTCATGCTCAATTCATATCATATTGTATCAAATCCAAATGTTTATCATAAAATAGCATAATCTTCATAAATCTAAGCTCTTTCCATCAAAATCATCATTTTGACTACTTTGACTTTGAAAAGTCAAACATTCATACTTTCATCCAATAATTTCAACTAGTTCTTGTAATTTTATCCATCCTTTTACTAAATAACAAAATATGTATCCTAATCTACTCAAAATACTAAGATGTCATCAATTTCACATCAAACCCTAACCCTGATCTCCATCAAATGATCCAATACATGAAATAGACAAATTTAAGAGTTTTATACCTTCAATTTCTTGTTTTATTCACCAAGAATAATGTTAGATCACCTCCTATATGTGTGAAATCGCACCTCAATAACCCCAGAAATTCGTAGAAGTGAAATGGGCCAAAATGGGGTTTTTTCTCGAATTAAACTCGTTTTGGGTCGGGTTGGCCCGGTTAGGTTGACCCATCACCCATTTTGACCACTTAACATTAAAAAATTCATAAGTTTTCGCTCGGACCTCCGTTTTCAATGAGATTTTCGCCTATGCTTTTGTAACAAGATGAGCTATAACTGTCAATAAATGTATTACAGAAAATACCTCCCAATAAAAGCAGTTTTACATATTTGTAGGTGTTATGCTTTCCTTTGCAATTTTGTCGTTTTTGATTTTAAGCTCGGAATCCCGTAAAAAATCTCCGACACCTCCAATGACTCCTAATAGGTCCAAAACTTAGTTCCAAAGCTTAACATCCCATCAAACTCCTCCTATTTGAGTGTTGTGCGCGTAGTTTACCAAAATAACAACGTAAATTATAAAACTTGCATAAAATGCAATCTACGCGACTTTTTTGACTTCCCCCACTTTTCTAACACTTCATACTAACTTATTCAAAGGTGTTCCAATCTTTACATCACCATTTAGATCATCCGTTCAAGTTTTGGGTAGATTTTTCCCATTTAGGCACTCTAGTTACCTACCCGATTTCCATTTAAAGCAATGTACTTTGTATTTTGAACCCCTCACATCATCTAATTATGTCATTTGTGAGGTTTTAGTACCAAACTTACCTCCTACATCTCATTCTAACTATGGGTTCTACTTATAACTCACTAGTACACTTGCCATTTTAGCAAATTCTCTTTTTACACAATTAACACATAAAGTATGTTTTTAAATATAATACATATTTAGAATCACTAGTTAAGCATATTTAGAAGGGTGGATGTTATTGGTTTGTTTATAACGATAGGTTGCATATCAATAATTACTCAGGAAACGATCAAAATATGGAATCTTCTGCAACAATGTGTTGTTGTAAGTTTTAATCTTGTGCTTCAGCTGCCTTACACAATACTCTAGGATCTGTTGAACAGAAGGAGGCTGCTATTTATGACAATAGAAACAAGGTGGTTGTTATTGTGTTTAGATTTAAGCCAATGCTCTGCAGTTACAGCAGCAGACAATCAACACTGTTTCATATTTTCTACTTGTTCATCAAATCCATTGAATTCAAAGCATCTGTTCAAATAGACTAAACATGTATGATGCAAATAATTAATATGATTCAAAGCATTAGTTGACATTTCCTAGCAATCTCATAA